TAACACACACTCAACAAACAGGCTTTCTCCAAGTCCTTATTTGTAGTGACAAGTCGAGGAAACATTAATGAGAGCCGTTATTTGTCGGATTTTCATAAAACATCTGTACACTTAAAAATCTGAATGTCAACAGATTTCACATAACTGTATTAGGTTAGTTGAAAGCAATAATATTAAGTTTCTTAATATTATTGCTTTCAACTAACCTAATAAAGTTATGTGAAATGTGCTGACATAATACATTTAATTAAAAAGTCAACGGTCAGTATTTTCAGTACTTGCATTTGAAAGAGTATGAATAATGCTCATATTGAGAACTCCTTTTTGTATTCATCATTTTAAACAAAGGTATATTTCAGAGTATTTAAAAGTAAGGAAAGAAATGTGTGTGTAAATGCATCGGTGAATCACATACAAATATTAAGATACTATATGTGTTTCTTATTTATTACTTGATAATTGTACTTACAAATGTCATATCACTGTCAAATTTCACTATTTGTTAAGATCACTGTAAAGATCGCGGAAAAGGTAGGACCCAAATGCAGACTACAAAAACGGAAAAAGGTCTTGAAACAAAAAGCGAGCTTTATTTAAAAGCTGATAAACAAAACATGGCATAACTCGAAACGGTAGCACAGAAAACAACAACACAAAAACAGACCGTGAGAAACATGGAGGAAGACCGGAGAGACAAACATGAAGCGTGACGTGAAGGGAAGACAAACAAACAATGAACCGACAGGGGAACACAGGAAGAGACAAGACTACATACAGGAAGGGGTAATCACGAGACGAGAAACAGCCGGGCAGGGGAGGCAGAAACACAAGGCCAACAGGTGAACACAATTAGACAATCAGAGGAGAAGGACCAGACAAGAAACAAGGAGGAAAACATGAAACAGGGAAAACAGAACAGCAAAATAAACCCAAAACTAGACATACAAAACTAAAAACATGACATAACATAAGGATCGTGACACTATTTAGTTATTTCTAGTCCCTGTTTTGTCTTTAGTTGTATACAAAAATGAATGCTTAAATTGAAACTGTAAATTGTCAGTCAAGTCTTTATTTTTTTATTTAATAAAACAATTAATTGATAAATCACAAATGGCACCAGCTGTGAGTTAGGAAGTGAATAAGTGAGTTGTGAATAGAGTGAGTGATTGAGGAAATAAACGAAAATGTCTATTATGTTGTAAATTGAATTATTTTAATATCTTTATTTGATGAAAAAAAAACTGACCCTTAATAGACACCATAAAAGCAAATAATAGAGAGCCATCACTTACTGTAATGGTCCTCCAGTATTGTGTCAAGCCAACAGGCCGCACCTGATCACTGTCATGTGATTTGACCATGTGCACTCAATACTTTCCAAAGTATAGGTACCTACACTATCTCCGCTTACATGTGCTCACTGTAACTCTGCATAGACTGTATCCATAAGACCTCCAGTTGAGTAAATGTAGGAATAAGCCGCTAAAGCATTGGGACAACTTGTCCCTTCTTATGTCTTTAATGCAGGATGTAGCTTCAGTGATATCTAATCTGTTCTTGGTAGCCCAGTTGTTTTGGTATGGATAAAGACAGGTGGGGCTATGACAAGTTCCTCCAGTTGGCAACACTCTCAAATGTCACTCTACTGCACAGCTGCATATATCTTGTCTCCTGTCTCTCTGCTTTGCTCTATTACCTCTTCTTTACTTTGCTACTCTTTGCGCTCTCTTCCTAACCCTGGTTAATATTGACTATTACAGTCCAGTCATTCTGTTGCTCTTTTGTTTCAGTCCATCTGTCTTGCTCTTTAACCGTCCCCAGGAGTCCTCTTAGCTTACTAACGTCAGTCACAGCTCCATATTGCCTACCACACTAATAATGTGCTCTCCTATGACTAACTAGAAGCAGTGGAGACAGGTCCCATACATACAGTCTCTGGGCTTAGACAGCTGTGAAGCCAATATTAAACTAAAACTGCAGTATAAGCAGATTCAGTAAAACATGAGGCATCAAAATGTAGATTTGTCAGTCTGTTAATTATGCTGTAAGTACAATTCACCAAAATGATTTAAACATGTGCTGACCTTTGCTTTTTTATTAGAACTGGAGCTATGCCTTTCAGGAATCTGTTTTGAGCAAAACAAACATACTAGAGGTCTTTTTCACCCGACGGGAGCTGAAGAAACACACCCGCAACTAATTTAGAAATGAGGCTTGAATCATAATGAATGATAAATAGTTAAAAGCTGCATTTCCTGAGAGGATAACAATTTACAAATGGTAGGGTTTACATGATAATGTACTTAAAATCTTGTAATTAAGTTCACTTTTGTATGATTATTGAAAGCAGAGTCCCTCTATTTTCTGAAAAACACAACAACCACAAGATACATAAATATGGTTATAATTTACATTTGGTCTATAGAAAATAGTTGGTTTAGTATGTTGTCTGTATTTTAAGTGCTGTAAGTACTTTTTAGCTCTGCATTCAATTTGATTTTGGTCAGTCTACATGCATAAACAATAACATTTGACTGCCAAAACTAGGATCAAACCGATAATCTGATTAAGCCTTACACGGTTGCATAAACTCACAGTTTCCAAGAAGGATCCTGTTAACTATCCTCACATATTTGTGGATTGTTTATCCCCATTAAAGCCGCTTCCATTGTTTCCCATCACACAACAACAACAACAACACAGTTATGGCTTAGTCAGAGCTGATGGAAAGAAGAGAATGGCTAATGCTGCAGTGACAGTCTGATATTCTGATATTTCTGACAGGGTCTTTCTTGGACATGGTACACCCTTCCACCACATCTTATGAACATCATGCCAGTAGTTTTTCTTGCTGAAAAACAGACAACTACAAAACAACCCAATAGAACCTCCTTGGCGAAAGTAATTATGATGGTCAACCCATCTGATGTGCACATCACAGTTACACGTTATTTTACAGGAGCCCAAAGGACTTAGAATAAGGACTTTGAAGATTTATGCAAGGTAACAATTGGATTTCCTGTGCGCATCACACAAAAAATGCACAACAAATGGAACCTATACCTAACCCTGAAATAAGGGAATCAACCGATCCTCATACAGGCTGCAAACTTTTGTGTATACCAGTAACAATCAGACACTTTTTATTTCCCATAATGCGTAATTGAATTGCACATTTGACACTGTAATTGTGCTTGTTCTCAGATAAGGGCTCATGATGAATCACCACCAAAACACCAAGTTTGTGTTGAAAATGAAAATAGCACTTTTCTACCTGCAGCATGGGACCTTCCAAATCTGATGGCTAAACCCTTTGTTAGTTGTGATGAAATATTCTGAACACATTTACCAAATCTGAAGCCTGACAGCTTACATTGTTAGGTCTCTTTTGTTTTAAACTCATGAGCTGCATGGATAAGCAAACAGTCCAACTTCATTATGATCATTCATCAATAATTATTTAAACAGATTCTAGATAAAGGAGAGCAGCCAAGTATACTAATTGCAATACGTCTTCAGTTGTGAAAACAATTTTCTCTGAGGAACATTATAAGAGCCAAACAAAAACATCCTTGAACTTTAAAGCAAGATATCATGTTAAATATACGTTAAACGCTCCATTAGGCATTGCTGTCATTGCTGAGCATCAGTTTGCTATGTTTGGGGCTATGTACTGTGTTTGTCTGCGAGTTGTTTCTTGGCAACGTTCAAACAGTTGTTCTCACAGGGATCTCATCTCTGTTTTTTTTTCTCAGTGCAAAGCTAGACGGAGAAACAAAGGGTTACAGGGTCCTGATAATTATGGGCGTCCTTTCACAAGGTGGAAAAGGGATTTAAGTCATGTGACTCTCAAGTTAAGCCTGCCACTGTGTTACATAATATCCCAAAATGTGTATGTGTATGTGCATGCATTTGTTTCTGTCATTAATGTATGTGAGACTGCTGCTAAAAATAAGCAAAGCCATTATCGATAATTGTTTGTTTGACCTTATTGGCGTTTATTCCATATGATTTAGATTTTAGAACTTTCAAGATATTTAATACACACATTTATACTTGCAAAGGATTCCCAAGCCAGTCAAACATCTTAGTAAATATGTAAAAAAGAGCCTATTTTCCAATGTTCATTGGTGTAAAATGGGATTTTGAAATGTCTGGTTGTAAATCAGAGTATCTTATTCATGTTTCAAGATAGGGTGATTAGTTTATTCAGCAGTAAGCAAGTAAGCTAACTCCACACAAACACAGCTTGAAAGCAACACATGCAGACACACACACATACACACACGTTCCTCATCAGTCACATTAACCATTCACATCCGCCACTGGTCATTGCATCCCCCCCTTTTGCCCCCAGGATAAAAAATCTAACACCCCTTAAATAACCTGGGGAGTTATAAGAGTCAGCAGGGCCCTCATCCAACCTGCCCTTTTAATAGAAACAAAAGGCAATTACCCCAGTATCCCTAAGAGTTAATTTAAGATGCTAAAGGTGGTTTGCTTCCCTTTGTAGTTTAATCTCTAAATTAATGCACAAAGATGCCACAGACAGTATCGTGTTACACTCTATTACTGGGAGGGTCGTCCTATCCAGTCAGTGGTTTGTGTTTTTTTGGGAGGGCAGCTGGTTTTGGAGGCGGTCAGACTATTTTTCTCAGCTCAAACACAAACAAACACATGCATGAGGGGGTGGGGAAAAAGCACAACAACATCCACAGGGCTTCCCTCACGCCCTGGGATTCACGCCACACATCTTATACCAGCTGATATGGGGTCACATTTCCCAAGCCCTTGTGCTCACCCTGCACTTATGGCAAGTGTGGAAGAACAGCTGACAATGTGTCATATGAAAGATTTCGAAAGGTCCTACTTATTGTGACAGACCAAGGTGTGAAGAAGAACTGTTACTCCACTTTTGCTAATGACATGACAGTCTACTACACTAACAGTAAATCTCAGTTGATGCAAAATGATTGATTCCAACAATGACCTCTCACCTGATGAGCCCAGGAAGTAGCGCTCCAAAGCGGAGCCGAAGCCAAATGGATTGTTCTTAAGATCACTCACAACAAACGGCTGCATGGTGGCGTTCTGATCGTTGATGGGCCAGGTCTGACCACGGACACTAGCACCACCGTACCAGGACACGTTGGTCATGGAGAAGCAGTCCTGAAAAGATACAGACATGCACAAAAACAATGTTAGGGAGAAAGACCCACAAGGAAATGAAAGAGGTAGACATTTATAAAGAGAGAGGCAAGACAGCTGTTAGACATTAGCTGTTAGAGATGTGAAATTGATGCTGACTGGAAAAAAGGAAATATTTGTAAAAGTTTATTGATAAAAAGAGTGTTAAGGCGTATCAAAAGACAGTAGATAGTATTAGAAAAACACTCAATTTCCTCAAATGCTTTTGCCTGACTAAAATGTAAATAATGGATGTAAATAAAAAGCATGAGTGGCTGTAAGGATTGTAGAGTTGATGTTTTCAGATGTATCACATTATATACCTGATAACTTAGAGTATTGATGATTCTAATCTTTGACAGAGCAAGTTACTGCTACTTTACTGGAGAAATGCAGGGCACTCTGCGGTATGTTATGGCTGGCACATGAGAATGTCTCAGAAAGCATTGCACGCAGGAGGGATTGAATGACAGAGGGTTTTCTAAGAGAAAGTCTGTCCTCCCTCAAAGCGTCTTTACGTGTGGGGGGACAAATGTGCAGAATGGCAGCTTATTTATTTCACGTCAGCAAATCCGGGCTCTGCTAAGGAGTTTGGAAACAGGTGCCAAGTAAAATGGTAAAATAAAGGCGACTTTGGTTTGGAAAGATTTTCTATGAGCAGTCGCATCACATGACAGGGGGTTATGGTGAGGAATGTTCCAGTGGGGACAGATTAACCTCCCCAAACATCCCAATAGTTCAATGCCTTTGATAATTAAGCTGGGGGGGGGGGGGGGGGGGAGTACAGTAAGTACTGTGCATGTCAAAAAGTCCTTACAAATTGAATGTAGTTAAATTGAGGGCTGAGGCAGTCACGCAAATATCTTTTTGGTCTATAACATACATTTAAATAATAACTCAAATCAAAATATTGTAGGATTTCATGGTGTCCGAAATGTATATTTAAAAGTATTAATACAAAAACATTTATTGAAATAAAAATAAATAAAAAATTGCAATATTTTATATCTGAATCTAATGAATAAAGTTATTTATGTCATTGGATTGTACACCATAGTATGCTGCAAACATACCGTGTTTTTGGGACACACATTTCATTGATATTTTTCAGCCTTGATAGTGGAAATCAGTTGATCATTTAAGGAAGACCACTTATATAAAACAGACAACTAACAAGACGTCTTGTAATTGATTTGTATGAGAAAAAAAACGCTTCCCTTGTGTTTTACATTGTGCACCAAAATCACAACAGCCATACAAATGAAATGCCAATAAGCATCAAGTAAACTGCAAATTAAGGCATGAAAGTGATATATGCAAAACTGCCTTTTGCACATGACATAGTGCGTAAAATGGCATATTGATTGTATTTGGTTCAACTTATTTTCTTGCACTCTGAGAGGGTAACCTTACCTTCAGCTCCACATGACAGTGCACCGGCACCCAGGTCATACTGTAGCACTCCGTCTCCTCATTCACCTCCAGGGAAATCTTCACCTCGGCCACCGAGTCCCATGTATAGCAGAACTCGGTTTTATTCAGCCAGCACAGGTTCCTCACAAAGGGAACCTCGTCGGGGTTCCCCACGTTCCCAACGTCTATCTCCACATAGGTCTTGTCCTCCGCCAGGGTCTGTATGACCAGCGAGTGGGTTCTTCTCTCCCAGATCAGTCCGCTAAAAGTCCCCCTGAGGATCCAGTTCTTGTTAGGCTGGTCCACCACTTGCCAATAAATGATCCCGATAGTCATGACAAAAAAGACGGCAACCCCGAGACAGGCTATAGCTCCTTTCCAGGTCTCGTTCATCTCCTTCAGTCCCGTGTCCCATGTTACCTCTGGGATGGGGCTGGGGTTCCTATTTCGAGCGTGGGGCATGTTGTCTTTGAGATAAGCAAAGAATCACACACAAAAAATGCTGCAGAAATCTCTGTGCGACAAGTATCTCTGTTGCTTCATCATGTCATGGTGTTTTCAGTGAGGCTACAGGGTAAACCAGCCTACTATTTATCTTTACACCGTTTACAATGTTGTTGTTGTTTTTTTGCGCAATTGTGCCAGCAACAGAGACCTGTCATGTGAAGAAAGCTGTGAGAGAAAAAAATCCCAGCGCGTCAATAAAACCGTATGGATGATTAAGTGACTTACCACATACTGCTGTTGTTTCAAAAGGGTTGCATTTGTAAATTGCATTGGCTGCAGTGAGCTCGTGAGCAGCCCGAAGCCGGGTTTGGCAGCAATGCCTACGAATAGCTCCTAAGACGCTGTCTTGCTTGCCCTGCACTTTCTGACGTAACGCCGGGTTGTTTCTTCAGAGGAAAGGTAGGGAGAGGGAAATGGGGGATCGGGAGGGTTTGGCTGAGTCTTGGAACTGCCCGCCCGGGCGAAGAGGCCACGGACAGCATGGAAGGGAGGGATCCCCATGCTTGCTTGCAAACTCACTGTGCGCTCTCCGTGCGTAGAGACTGTGGATACTTGTCATCCGGTGGCTTGGTTGACGGTCAGGGGCGTCAATTTCCATTCCTTATCCAAATTTGATATTGTGGGTGATTCATATTTGTATTAGAGAGGAAATCGTGATGATTCTGTTTGAAATCAGAAGCACAATAATCTTAGCAGTGTCTTTTGCATGTTTTATTGGCTACATCTAATGGACTTATTCATCAAACTGACCAAGAAGTCACAACAACATTTTCACCTTATAATAATTATTCTTGAGGGGTTTGGGTAATTAGTAGGTTTGAAAGATGTGGGTTGGATACAGTTTGTATTGCCAGTTTGGCCAAGTTTACAAAGTGAGATGGATAACCTGTCACCCAGAAAATGCTCCTGCTCAAGCTCCAGGGCTCTCTACTGCACTAATGTCCTTTTAGATTACTGTTAGGCCATTACACACACTATATTATTACAAAATAAACTTCTTTGGATCCATATTCTATTTTATATGACCTTCCTTTTCACTTTGAATTGCCTTGTGTTGAAAGGTGCTATATAAATAAACTTGCCTTGCCTTGCCTTGCCTTGTGTAATTTGTTATGCATGCCCCTCAAAAATATAGTGACACTGGTTTCTAAAAAAATCTGAAGTGAGTTCATACTGACACAATCTCAAAACATTGGAAGAAATGTCTTGCTTAAACTGAAAAGGTGTTTAAGTAGGTGAAATAAATACGTATTTCAGTGTAGAAAAAAATCTAGGAAGTTGTATGCAAATATATAGGGTGTTCTCTTTAACCTAAAATAAAATAAAGTGAGAAATCTGTAACCTGTATGTGTCCGAAAGTTTTATGTTTTGCAATAATGGACTGTTTTGCATTCTGTCCCTTTGAATGTTAAGTCTTGATAAACTTTAACCGTTTTTTTTTAATCAATGCAAAATCGAATGAAGTGTCAGGAATAAACTTACAATAACCTTAAATAAAGAAAACAACATTTTGCATGTAATTGTTTTTGCTTTAGAAGAATCAGATACAACGGAAATATAAATTTAAAGCAATAAAGACAAATCTGTGATAGATTCAGGTTGTGATATAAAATATATTATAAATGGTGTGGTTCATATACTGTAGTGTGGAAGACATTTCAGGGCAAGAATGTTGTTTGTGAGTTCCTCAAGGGTAAAAGGTGGCATTTGGACTGTCAACATCCATTGTGTCTAGAGTTATAATCAAAGCATATATAGATGTCTACTGTTTGACTATCAACTAGTCAATATCCATGTGTGCAAAATTGTGTACAATTCAAAGCAGCTCTCGACTCTTACAGTAGCTCTCACAGAAGCATATCCTTTGTCGTAACTTTCTGAAACCTAAACTGTATACAGATCATGTTGAGTCGTTTTAATCCGGTATCACTATTCATTTCATTTCAACAAAGCTCTTACTATTACATGGTCATGGCTTTATCGGTATCCAACAACAACTTTATCAAACCCAAAAATAAGACGAGCAATCGTGGCTTGAACAATGTTGTTATGTTTGTAGGTTAAGGTCTCTTCCGCGGTGCTGTGCACAAGATATCCAAAGAGTGTGGGCTGACATACCTTGAAGATCAGTTGCCTCTGTCCCCGTTTATGCATGTCAACCCCCCCGCCCTCCGATCCATCACATAACTCTGGCAGGGGCAGAGACACTGGATCAGGCTGTGGGAACCTGTGTGAGCACTTTACCCAATCACCCTACTCTAACTGTATTTCAAAATCTCTTAAAAATCAGTGCTTGATCGTGTACAACGTTATGGATTTAAGTGCAAAACTCTCAGGACAGAACTCGGCAGATGATTAATTTGATACTTTGATTCTTTATGAGGGAAAAAACGGTGCTGCTGTCCGCACACCGACTAGTTTGAGAATGAAAGACAAAGAAGCTCCAAAGCCAGTTAGTGTGTCAGAAGATGTCATGTGATAGTTTCTCTTGGAGAAGAATCTACTGAACAATGAGCACTTTGGTGACATATTTGTCCAGCTCTATTTTAAAAACAGTTTTGGATTATATATTAAATTAGTGCATTTGTGCATGTGTACTGTACATGTGTTTGCAGTTTGTTTGCTTGCATTTGGACCCCTTCAATTCAAGTTCAACATGGGCCTTGTGGCAGCCAGGCTCCTGGGTCAGAGGTCAGCCTTATGACATTAACAGAACATCCAGGGGGGAGGGTCTAAATGTACACGCCATCCAGATTGCCCTCGACTCCATCCCTCACGACTATTAATAGTCCGAGGACTGCTGCGTGGCATGCACCCGCTCCCTTAGAGAGTGTGAACATGGGACATGAAAAAACGGAGGAATCTGACCTGAACTGATCACTTCCTCTGACCGATCATTTAGTGTTGATGGCGAGGGGGCAGGGGTTTAATTAGTTGTGGGGTGGAGCAGCTAATGGTTTAGGATTTGTGTGTCAAGTGGGCTGCCTCAAGCTACAGAAAGTTCAAAGTAGCAGTATTACAAACTTCATTTAAAAATTAGTTTATCCTGTTAGCATGGTAATATTTGATTATTAGCACTAACCACAAAGTAACACTGAGGCAGATAGGATTATCTTGTCTAGTTGTGCAGGGACTATATCATAACCATAGACATTATAAAACAAAACTAGCACTACTAGGGACTACTGTTTTGAAGCATATTTGGTCGTCGCCATCTCGTTATTTTGGAACCAGAAATGTCATGATAGAGTAGAGCAGTATAACCGAAGCAGACACTTTAGGCAACAGAAATATGACAGTTTACTTTTCTTGACAGAAACTGAAAATTTGGAAGCATTTAACTTTGAAATGAAGTAAACACAGACAACATTCAAAAAGGTCAACCCATTGGTAGCGACCTGTCGAACCCCCCTCAAGCATACTCTGCTTTGTTCTGTATTTTACTGCAAATGTTCCTGCCGTTTCAAAATCATGCTATATGTAAGGGTAACAAGACAAGTGATTGAGACCATAAAGGCATTAGGAATCAAGCATTCTTATTGAAACCAGCAATTAGATAAGTAGTTCATTTGTATTTTCCATCAAGGAGTCAAACTCTTTATGGTAGTTTTCTAAGACTTCTGTACAATTGGACTTCTTTTTGCCATTACTAGAGTTGCCTCTTGTTGGCCATTAGAAAGAAAGCAGGTAAAAGCACATTGACTTCACTTTTGAGACCCGGAGGATGCAACTTGATCCTAACCAAAAGACCTGTACAAATGTTGTGTCTATCCATTTAGTAGAAGTTCACTGGATTAATGACAACTGTTGGCTATTGGCTCTAGATGAAAAAGAAAACGGCATCATCATAGTCATAGGATTCATCCTCTAGGCACTGGGCATGTCCATACACCATGTCAATCCATCAAATCGTTGTTGAGATTTGTTTTAGTCTGAACCAAAGCGGACCAATCCTTCATAGAGCCATACTGTACCATAAGTGTATCTAAAAATGTAGGAATGGATGGACTGACTTGTTCAGTAAACCCTTATAGATAACAAGCCACTGACGCTTTGTGATTCTTGTATCTTTGAAACATCTGCTACAAATTGTCAATGGAGGATGAGAACAATTCCTGCCAAAAATGATAATTGGCTCCCCTGACACAGTTTTGCCTTATCCCTGACTGTGGTACATAACACACATAACATGCTGCAGCCTAATCCTACTGTATAAGCCTTGCATGTGAACGTAAACATTAACAGGCCACCACTGATTCAAATGTGGACTCTCAATGTTTGCTCTTAGTGTCTTTGATCAAGTTCTACCTGTTCTTCATCCACTCCCCTCTATGGTGCTACTGCTGCTATTGTTACAGTAATTGGATTATGTGTTTTGTATTATATGAAAACTCATTATCAAATATGTTAGCCGGGTAACTAAATAGGGAAATGATTTAAGGCATTTGTATGGTCTAGGAGGAAGTGGCTTTACAGGGAAACACTCAAATAGTCCCATTACATGCAAAACTACTCGTTGAACTGACACACTTTTCCATCTTCACGTCTGGATCTTCAATTTACGTTTTCCCTTTTTTCTTCTCTAGGATATTCAATACGGACAACTTCTCCTGCCTGAGAATCGGAGGGGGAAAGTTTCTATGCGGCCCCAACGCCCGCTCTTGGCGGGACAATACCGCTGTAGACTGCACTGTTTCCGTCTATCCACCTCTGCTGTAGAGCACTCCCTCCTCCTTCCTTACTTTCTCCCTTTTTTTACTGTGACAAAAACAGCCACTTTCCACTGCCCCAGACCTGAACTTTCATTCCAAACCTCTCTCTCTCTCCCTCTCGTATTGTCTAAGTTACAATGAATTATAGGTGATTGCTAACAGAAATCGTACATGTCCAACTGAGCATGGGTGTAAGAAATGTATGTGCATGTATTAACATATGCTTGTGAGGAGCTGTGTATTATGTGTTTGCTTTTGTATGACTGCATGTCACAAACACTATAGTAATTTAACTGTAAAGGCAGGGAGTTAACTGGTATATGACATCTGCCAAACTGAACTATAAGTAAAAAAAGACAATTCAT